TCAGAATCCTGCTCACTAGTTTCTTTTTTTTCTTCCGAGGCCCTGGGATATACAATTTAGGATTCACTGAATTTACGTTATGGGAGAATTAATCCCCTACATATTTCAATGTAAGTTTATACTGCTATTTTTAATATCTTCGAAATCTAATGGCCCTCAGTTTGTTTCTCAAGAACACCTTATGGAAGAAAACAGCGGCAGGCTTGTCCGCAATTAACTGCTGAGATAGGATTTCATCACTCAATTTATTCCCAATGGCTTTCTAAGCGGCTGTTTTAAAGGCTGCTAACTTCTTTTGTCTTTCGCTGTGACGTGGATAATATTTTGTCTCAAATCCTACTTCTTAAAGCAACAACAAAAATGAGCTAATGCTTTTAACGAATCTGATCTGTTACAAATCAGTTTCTTCTTTTTCCCTACGTAAAGTGTGGAAAAAGAAGAAGCTGATTTGCATGGAAGTCTCGCAAAAAAAAATACATAATGGTTCGTTGGCACTGCTTATAAAAATGTGGGGAATAGTAGATAGTGGCACGCAAATTTTCTAACTGTGAAAGATGGATCCGCAACATTGTGCTAATACAGAATATTTCTAGCCTGACTATATTAACTTCCACACTGACTTGTTTTTCCATCCATTTCCAGAATAAGTGCTAATAAAACGAGGCAAGCAAAGAAGTATTTCAGACTGGAATGAGTTGCTCATTTATTATATTTAACAAATAAAAATTCGAAGTGCAACCAGTGGAGATCCCGAACTGGATTCTGAGCTTGTTCTTACTCACGCGGGCTGCTTTTTTCCAGTGGAATAGCAAGAAGGTAAAAGAAAAATGCATGAGCAGCCACTTGAATTTCGGAGCTACGCGTTTTTTGAAAATCAGCTGGCATGTTAATACTGTTATTCATTTCCTTATAATTTATTTCTTGTTAGTGAAGAACTGTGAAAAATTCGATGAGGTTTACGTAAAAACCTGTTCAGACGTGTCAATGTTTGGCAAAATCATCCGAAGTTCCCTTTGTTTTTGCAAAAATTATTGTCAAATTATGAAAAAGAGCAGATTATTTGTAAACAGTTGTATTCTGTGGTACACTTCTCCGGTTCCCGCAATTTTTTTTTTTTGAAATCTGAGCAAAATTTATACCTAACCTTTTTTGCCAAAACGTAGTCCCAATTTTCTCACAGCATATGCTCCTCTTCCTCTCTGCTGGATCATTTCAGATTTACTCCTGCGCTAAACAATCTTTTTCGAAACAAACTTTCGAA